CACAGGAGCTTTGGATACTACATAGTACAGGCTGTTCATTCAGCACTAATACAATCATTGCATGTATAAAGAAAGGAGAGCTTATTTTTCTGAATTATCTGCTGGCTTCATAATGGTCATTATTATGGTCATGCTCATGACTTTGGTTTGTAAGTTAAGACGGGCAAAAGTTAAATTCACAAGTCTTTGCCATCCATCTGGTGTCCAGAGCTTACTCATATCTAGGAGCTGGAAGATTAGTGAACTGTTTAGACAAAACTTCCAAATACAAATTTTCCCTCCTTTTTCATTATAGCAATTTTGTCATCTACAGGACAAAAGAGAGGTTGGCTGAGGAGAATGGGGATTTATTGATATGATGCATGTATTCTTACCATATGCACATTATAATTTCATCATACAAAAAAAATCATTCATCATAAAAACTTATCAGCACTCAGTCTAACTGCCTAACTGGAAGTCTGATTTCTTCCATGTTTAATGAAACTTGTTTATTTTCTCTCTACTCTCTCTCGCTGCACATATAAAGCACATGATAGGATTACTAAAGAAAAGTGTGGTCTTAAGATTACCTATGTAGAGTAGGCTCTTGGGTCCCTGCTTTTCTGGTTTTTCCTGAAACTATCATCCTTATCCAGCTCATACAATGTAATCTTCTGTAATATATACTTACCAGTAATCAAGTAGTCAATAATGGTCTGACATTCCCTGTCTTTTGCCTCCATCCTTCTATGACCAAGTGCTAGGTATAACGTGATTAATGTAATTTCCCAATAGCTCTTCGGTCAGTTTAGTTAAATACATCTGATGTCTATTTTTTCAATGATTTTTTTTTTCATAAGTAGGTATAACATGCTAACATCAAATATAAGGTAGATACATACTAAATATTGATGTATTTTCATCTCCTTTGATAGCAATAATGATAGAATTGCTTGTTAATAGAGAGCCTTAGTCTGACATCTTTCACAGGCAAGTACTTTCAATTTTCAGGTACTAACTTCCTGATTCGGTCATTTGACATAGATGAGGGCAGCTGACAGATGCACTGGCATGTGGGAATTGCCTTTCTCAAAAACCAGCTAACTAGAACTTTACTGCAATGTCTCAGTATGTTCAGAGTCTGTACATGAAACTAAATCTGGGAGGTGGAGTTAGGAGACAGGATCAGTCTCTTTATTCACATACCACATGAAAAGGGAAAGCTGTACACTTTTATATGCTTAAACTATTTTTTTAAAGTTTTATTTGTATGTTTATTTAAGCATAGAAAAAAGCATAATAGCTAGAAATGGAAGACAACATATATACCCTTCCATTTTTATGTATGTGAGGTTGTTTAGAGATTTAAAAAAATAAAAAAACCAACAAAAACCAAGCCTAATCTAACGTACAGATTTCCTGAGACAGATGTTGATTTCGGGGGGGAGGGGGGTGGGGGGATGGTGAATGGTTGAATAGTTGAGCATACAGTTCATAGAAAATTATTGAAACAAAGTTTCTGTTATAAACAATGGACTCATTGAGTGGGTTAACTTCAAAAAAAAAAAAAGGTTTAAACTCCTATGCCATATGTGCAGATATATGTTGCTCTCTACCTATCTATATTTGTTCAGTATAACTTCTATAGAGAATATTTTTACTTGCTGTATTAGCCCCATCTGGTGAATTCTAACAGCACTGCAAACTAGAGAGACTTCATGCTGAACTCTCATGCTCCAGCTCGTAGATTGGTAGCAGGGCATACACAGAGACCCATATTCCTCCCTTTGCCCACTGCAGCAATAATGCAAGCACCAAGGAGGAAACCTCATTAGTGTGTTAGTAACATAGTTTCTAAGCTTCTCCTTTGCTTTAATGGATTGATCTTACAAGTTAGGGTGTTACTATCTTCATTTGCATTCGAAATCATGAAGAGTACATTAACACACTTTAGCCAAACAGCCCCATTCACAAAGAGAGCATTTCTGTTCTTCAGCGCTCTTTGAGGAGAGACCATGTGTGAGGGGCAGAATCGGCTGCTGTTGCAGAACATCTAGCTTTAAAATTCTTTCTGAGGGGGCTGTGGTTCCAGTTTGTGTAACTGCAAAGGGATGTCACCCTTCAATGAGTTCATTTCAGAGCAGCTGTTAGTGGACATACTCATGAGCAGCCTCCTCTAAGTGGCCCTGCTTGAGCAGAGGGGTTGGATGAGATGACCTCCAGAGGTTCCTTCCAACCTCAAACCTTCTGTGATTCTCTAAGTTTACCCTTATAATTTGTATTTGTGCAATATCAATATAAGTCAACACTATTTTGAGTAGGTAGCATTTTACTTACCTTCTGTAAGGATAAATTCTAAAAGATCTTTTGAAGTGCAGGATCAGGATCATAGTTTCTAAACAACAAAGGAGGAGGCTGCTTGCCTCTAACATACGGGCCAGCAAACCCAGTCAGCCTTTGGTATGTCAAAGTAATACACCCTCAGCGCCTGTCTTGACTTGCTTCATGCCTAAGAAGTCTTGATCAGTTTCTCTCTACTCCCCCTCTCTTGCTGCATGTCTCTACCAAGTAATGGCTGATTTTTATAAAAAAGCTTGGATTTAAGGTTACCTACATAGAGTTAAGTTCAGCAGAAAGATGAGTGATAACAGTGATTCTTTTACTGACAGACTTAGCTCATGAAGATTGGTTGCTCTGCTAAGGTAAGCTGAAATGTGGCTACAGTGCGTTTCTTTCCATCACTTCCCTTTGGAAAATTCAAACATAATTTTGTCATAATCTTTCTAGTCACCCGAATTCTGTTTCTTGTCTTCTCTCTTTCCCACAGCTGTGACAGAAGACAACTATGGGCAAAATAAAACCAGCTAATAGTGAGACACAAGGCTCTCATGGTCTTTATTCAAAACAAATTAATAAAGTGGGCTGTTTAAGCATAACTTATGCAAGAACATTAAATACGAGCATATCTTAAATAGGAACTCTACATCTTTGGGTGGTTTCAGACTTGGTTACCATTAAATGATCAACAGAAGGCACTCTACAACACTTCAATAAAATGTGATGCCTTGCAGTATTATTCTGACTTTAATGGATTGTGAGTCCATATTAGTCTCACCATTATACCAAGTAAGAAAATATCTCTTATTTTCCCAGAGAAATTTCAAGCTTATTCTTAAAATTAAATCATTACCTCAGAGTGTACCTATACAGGTGGCCTTTCAGGTAAAGGACAGAGAGAATCTCCAGTCTTTCTTGTTATTTTGTCATAACTGTAAAATTTAAACTATGGCATGTCCCAGAATGTAAATGGAAAGTTAATTAATGATAATAAATCTTGTGATGACTTTTCTTGCTTTATAATACAGTCATAAAATCATAGAATCATAGAATAGTTAGGGTTGAAAAGGACCTTAAGATCATCTAGTTCCAACCTCCCTGCCATGAGCTGGGACACCTCCCACTAAACCATATCACCCAAGGCTCTGTCCAACCTGGCCTTGAACACCACCAGGGATGGAGCATTCACAACTTCCCTGGGCAACCCATTCCAGTGCCTCACCACCCTAACAGGAAAGAACTTCCTCCTTATATCCAATCTAAACTTCCCCTGTTTAAGTTTTAACCCATTACCCCTTGTCACTACAGTCCCTAATGAAGAGTCCATCCCCAGCATCCCTATACCCCCCCTTCAGATACTGGAAGGCTGCTATGAGGTCTCCACGCAGCCTTCTCCAGGCTCAACAGCCCCAACTTTCTCAGCCCGTCTTCATACAGGAGGTGCTCCAGTCCCCTGATCATCCTCGTGGCCCTCCTCTGGACTTGTTCCAACAGTTCCATGTCCTTTTTATGTTGAGGACACCAGAACTGCACACAATACTCCAGGTGAGGTCTCACGAGAGCAGAGTAGAGGGGCAGGATCACCTCCTTCGACCTGCTGGTCATGTTCCTTTTGATGCAGCCCAGGATACAGTTGGCTTTCTGGGCTGTGAGCACACACTGAAGCTGGCTCATGTTCATTTTCTCATCGACCAACACCCCCAATTCCTTCTCTGCAGGGCTGCTCTGAATCTTTTCTCTGCCCAACCTGTAGCTGTGCCTGGGATTGCTCCGACCCAGGTGTAGGACCTTGCACTTGGCATGGTTAAACTTTGTAAGTTTAAACTGACCACATTAAAAAGCCTACAAATTTCCTCTTGATTAAACCATTATTCATCCTATTCTATCTCCATCTTAAGCAAATTAAAAATCAGAGAGAATCAAAAATCCAAAATATACATTGGAATATTAACGATACATCTGAAACAGTAATTATATCTTTTGTCCTTCACTCTCAATATGTATATCAAAAATTACTTATATTTTTTCACTGTTTAAAAAGCCATATACTACAGTTGTGTGTGTACGAATATACATGCAATAAGGGTTCAGCTATGTTTATCCTTATTAACACTGAACCTGTGCAAACTGGAGATCAACCCATGGATGAAGAGAAGACTCTTGCCTTCCAGGCTGAGATAGTACCTCATCAACACTGTCTATTGCAGCAAGAAAACCTTTCTGAGGGAGCCAGTTTGCAATTCATTGGCTGCAAGCTATCTAGCCATTAATGTGATTCAGCCAGTAAAAAACTGCCTGAATTCTTAAGTATATCCTGAGAATGCTTAAGCCTTCTGTTTTAGTCTCTGGACAAAATCAGACTCAAGGCCTTGACTGATCCAAACAAGCTGGATTCTGGAAATGACTGACCCAATGAGCACAACTGTATTCTCATCATGGATTCAGGCACAGGATGACCAAAGCTGACCCCATTACTACTGTGACTTCCAGCAGTGGAGCTTTTATGTAAATATTGCTTGTGCTGGTGTCTTCAGGACTGGTCGGTTTGGGGTCAGCTTCTTCTCTGCCTACCTGATTGCAAATGTGACTGAGCTCACAAAACAAAAAAGATAGGCAGTTTGCATGTCACCTTCACTTCAAGACTAGCTAATGTCAAGTGAAAACACTGCAGAACAGCAGCGGGAGCACAGGCACACAATCTAATGTAATAGTATCTAACTTTAACAGCAAATTTGCCCTGTCTGGGAAATAATGACTGTCTGAACTTTATAAAGCAAGAGAATGAAGTTGGTAATACAGCTCCACTGATGTATTGCATTTTATAATATGTACTACATTTAAAGAAAAAATTTAAATATAATAAATTTCCATGAGGGTTTTGAAAACTGGGGGAAAGACACATTGAAATGGTGTAATTGCTGTAGTTGTTGCATTTTGTTGGAGCACAGAATTAAGCATGAAGCACCAGTTCACCATCTTCATGTAGTCAGTGATGATTAAGAATTTCTTATTACAATTACATTAACTCTTAGTTTCAGAAAAAACTTGCTATTTGGACATTTGTGCTGCCACTAAAGCTCTCAGATTTCACTCAAGGGGAACCCCAAGGCTGTAGAACAAAGATTATCCTAAATCGAAAGGAAGACCAAAGAGACTATTTGGAAGAAAGGCAAATCAAAGAAATTGTGAAGAAGCATTCTCAATTCATCAGCTGTCCAATTATACTCTTTGTAAGTGCCATGTTAGAAATGCTAATAGTACATGCTTTGAAACACTAGTTGCATACCTAATGTCCTCGCATCATTCCCAGATGCTACTAGAACAATGTTAACTAAGCTGTCTTTGTATTGCTAGCATTAAAGTTTACAAGAAGAACTGGCTACCCAGGATTTGGAGAAGGCTGAGGTTCTTAATGACTTCTTTGCCTCAGTCTTCACTGGCAAATGCTCTGACCACACCACCCAAGTATTGGAAGGCAGATGCAGGGACTGTGAGAATGAAGACCCTAGGCCCACTGTAGGAGAGGATCTGGTTCGAGACCATCTTAAGAACCTGAACATGCACAAGTCCATGGGACCTAATGAAATCCAACAATGGGTCCTGAAGGAGCTGGCAAATGAAGTTGCGAAGCTGCTGGCCATCATATTTGAAAAATCATGGCAGTCAGGTGAAGCTCCCGACAACTGGAAAAAGGGAAATATAACCCCCATTTTCAAGAAGGGGAAAATGGATGACCCGGGGAATTACAGAGCAGTCAGTCTCACCTCTGCCTGGCAAAATCTTGGAGCAGATTCTCCTGGAAGGCATGCTAAGGCACATGAAAAACAACAAGGTGCTTGGTGACAGCCAGCATGGCTTCACTAAGGGGAAATCCTGCCTGACCAACTTGGTGGCCTTCTATGATGGGGCTACAGAACTGATGGACAGGGGTAGAGCAGTTGATGTCATCTACCTGGACTTGCGCAAAGCTTTCGACACTGTCCCACACGACATCCTGGTCTCTAAATTGGAGAGACATCAATTTGATAGGTGGACCACTCGATGGATAAAGAACTGGCTGGACAGCCACACGCAAAGAGTTGTGGTCAATGGCTCAATGTCCGGCTGGAGACCAGTAATGAGTGGTGTCCCTCAGGGATTGGTGTTGGGACCTGTCTTGTTCAACATCTTCGTCACTGACATGGACAGTGGGATTGAGTGCACCCTCAGTGCCAATGACACCAAGCTGTGTGGTTCAGTTGATACGCTGGAGGGAAGAAATGCCATCCAGAGGGACCTTGACATGCTTGTGAGGTGGGCTGATGTCAACTTATGAAGTTTAACCATGACAAGTGCAAGGTCCTACACCTGGGTCAGAGCAATCCCAGGCACAGCTACAGGTTGGGCAGAGAAAAGATTCAGAGCAGCCCTGCAGAGAAGGAATTGGGGGTGTTGTTCAATAAGAAAATGAACATGAGCTGGCTTCAGGGTGCGCTTGCAGCCCAGAAAGCCAACTGTATCCTGGGCTGCATCAAAAGGAACATGACCAGCAGGTCAAAGGAGGTGATCCTGCCCCTCTACTCTGCTCTTGTGAGACCTCACTTGGAGTATTGTGTGCAGTTTTTGTGTCCTCAACATAAAAAGGACATGAACTGTTGGAACAAGTCCAGAGGAGGGCCACGAGGATGATCAGGGGACTGGAGCACCTCCCGTATGAAGACAGGCTGAGAAAGTTGGGGCTGTTGAGCCTGGAGAAGGCTGTGTGGACACCTCACAGCAGCCTTCTAGTATCTCAAGGGGGGTATAGGGATGCTGGGAATGGACTCTTCATTAGGGACTGTAGTGATAGGAGAGGGGTAATGGGTTAAAACTTAAACAGGGGAAGTTTAGATTGGATATAAGGAGGAAGTTTTTTCCCGTTAGGGTGGTGAGGCACTGGAATGGGTTGCCCAGGGAAGCTGTGAATGCTCCATCCCTGGTGGTGTTCAAGGCCAGGTTGGACAGAGCCTTGGGTGATATGGTTTAGTGGGAGGTGTCCCAGCTCATGGCAGGGAGGTTGGAACTAGATGATCTTAAGGTCCTTTCCAACCCTAACTATTCTATGATTCTATGACTGTACATTCTGTTGTGTGATAACTTATTTGTTTGTTTTCCTAGTGATAGGTTTAAGTACTAGGATCCTACCTATGCGGGATACCTATACCACGTATCAGTTGCATCTAGATGATGAGCTTCTGATGCACCAATCCAGAGGACATCTTATAAAGCTAATGTTTATATTAGTGAATATAGCAAGACAGAATTCATGCTGTTGGTAAAATCTGCAGCACTTGACAATGAAAATACATATTTGTAGCTAAAGATCCTAATTATGCAGGTGAAACAATAAACTCTGTGTATTTTATACTGATGTATTCTAATATTGTATATTTGGAGCCAAAGAAATCTGATATATTTAGACATGCTTCTGAAAGGGGTCTGGGTGGTACCGACTAATTAGTAATGCTGGCTTTTAAGCCAGAATTATTACAGTTCTAGTTCCAAAACTGAGCAGAAGGCTATTTAGAAAGGTACTTTGAATGCCTGGTGTATCCGTATTATTTAATGAGTAATTTCTACAAAACTGCAAAGTTGGAAATATTTCTCATATGACCTGTAATGATGATGATCTTGGACTTTCATTATGATCTTTGGACTTGATGATCTTAAAGGTCTTTTCCAACCTAGTTGATTCTGTGATGTTCACTCTTAAAAGTGATATGCAGGGAAATCAATCAAGATGGAATTAACATGCAAATTAATGTAATAGGAATGTGAACTCAGGGGTTTCTAGAGAAAAGAATGGCCCACTGTACCTTCCTGTCTTGGACAACCAGAGATAAGAAAGCCAAGTCATCACGGTTATATTTGGTATAAATTCAGAATTGTATTTCTGTCAGATGAAACAAACTTGTAACAGTTCTGCAGAACTACAGGTGAGAGAGATAGTTCATTGTGAACAAATGGTCTGAGAAAATACAATTTTAGGTAAGTCATTAGAAAGAGCAGCTATGTCCTGAGGAATAAAAACTGAAAAATCCCTGCTTTTACTATTCCAATCCTTTACTGTCCCTTCCTGCAACTTAGCTTTGCAGATCTACTGTGAAGGACAGCAAGAACAAAACACAGAAAAATACCTACTGTCATCATTTTTAATAGGTTTATTTTATAATAAAAAATTTTTCTGGTTAGAGTGAACTTGCTGCTTTTATTTTAAACACTAGAAGTTTTTGAAGTAACTCGAATTTGACAAAATAAAGATACTTTCCCTAGTCCATACATATCCAGCTAAAGTAGAAATGCAAAAATCCTGGGATGTCAGCAGCTGAAACAGTTTTGTTTGTTAATCACAGGAGTCAATGTGACTCCCACCCAGCTGAAAAAGCCATTCTGGTGGGTTTTTTCTCTCTCTTGTTTTGTGAATGATGAGAGAAAAAAAGGCAGAAATATCTGCAGAAATACTTCCTGGCAAGTATTAAGCAGCACCACTCCAAACAAGAAATAACCTGGTGACTCCTAGCAACTCTAGTCTGTCCTACTTGTTTAATGTAGAGCATTATACTGACACGCCTATTAACCAGCCTAAGAATATCCTCAGCTCAGCTGACTGCACAGCAGGATTTCAGTGTAAAGAGCCAAGTTACTTCAGGAGATTTGCCTCAGTATGGCAGGAAGCATCTCTGAGAGAGATGAAAACTGACTGATTCACTATGTCTCGTTACTGGAGCCTACAGATAGACCTGTGTATGATTAATCAAGTACTTACACAGCTCTTGACAAAATTTCTCAAAGTACCCACTCAGAGTCAGCTTTAATCAGAATTATCTTACTGCTACTATTCTTTCTTTCAGCATTCTTTCATGGAGAAGAAGCTGGGATTCAGATCTCTCATGTTTTTTCACAAGAAATAAATCTTTTGATCTGACACAGCAGGAAAGTCACATTAAACTGCCTAAGCAGAATGTTCATCATGGATAGCTGTGAAGCCTTTATCTATGATTATCTGAAAGTGCTCCATCATTTTAGTACTTTTTTTTTTTCCTGTAGCAGTATATCCCTAATAAAATGAAAGTACTGCCTGAAATAGAAAAAAAAAAACCAAACACCTATCATCCGTGCACTAAGTAATCTACCCAGAGCATATTGTCGTGGTTTAAACCCAGTCAGGTAACTCGTTCTCTCACTTCCCCCCCTTTCTTGCCCTCCCCCTGCTCTCGGAGGGACAGAGAGGAGAATCAAAAGAATGCAACTCCCACGGGTTGAGATAAGAACAGTTTAGTAACTAAGGTATAACACAAATCACTACTGCTACCACCAGTGATAATAATGATAAAGGAAATAACAAGGGAGAGAATACAACACCTCAGCACCAGCCGACCGATAACTCGCCCCCCAAGCCCAACCAAGTGCCGACCGATACCTCCTCCAACCCTGCAGTCTCACAGCCCTTCCGGCTAACTCCCAGTTACATCCTGGGCATGATGTGCTGTGGTATGGAATACCTCTTTGGTCAGTTTGGGTCAGGTGTCCTGTCTCTGCTTCCTCCTAGCTTCCCCTCCTCCCTGGCAGAGCATGAGGCTCACAAAGTCCTTGGCCAAACCAAAACATCACTATCAGTTCTGCTCCCAGGCCGAAAGTCAAAACACTGCACTGTACCAGCTACCAAGAAGGGGAAAAATGACTGCTACTGCTGAACTCAGGACACATATGGACAGATTTAAACCAATTTCTTGCCTTTTCTTTACAAGTATAGATTGCCAAAGTAAAGACTATATCCTAGGTTTGAAATACTAGAAATAATCAATTTCATGGCCATGTATGGTAAATGCTAATTATCTCACGTTCTGAAAAATGTGCAAACTGAACCTGCAGATTTTTTTAATTCCTGTGACTTCTGAGATTTTTGTTAAATCATGCTTCCTGATGAAATGTGAAACTTTAAGGCATGTAGCAGACTCACAGTATACTCCAGTGTGTTTTGAATTCCGAATAGCCGACTTTAAATATTTCTTTACAGATAATGCAGCAGAACAGAATTATGAAGGTGACAAGTGGATTAATAACATTCTTCAAAGTTTCCTTGACTATCACAAGGAAAGAAGATAAAAGTTTTGTAAGAAATTTTCCAGAACATGAGGTGTTCTACCTGGACACCTCTTTCAAGGAGGGCCTGACCATACAGTCAGGGTTCAAAAGAGCAGACTGCTCCATCAGCAAGGATGAGCCAGGAGCCAAGGGTAAAATCAAGGCAGGCCCAAGCAGGGAGCATACTGACAAGGGTCATAAGCCCACAGTACCTGAACAAGAAGAGAACTGGTCCAGTGATGTTGCACCCAATAGGTCAATGATCACCACATGCATCTGTAATAATGAGGTATGTCTAAGGACAAGCCAAGAAGTCAGGTCAGCAAGACAAGGCTGGAATCAGCAAAGTACAAGGCTGAACCCAGGCACAGCTCAGGCAAAGATCAAAGCCAAGGCCCAGGCTTCAGTGCAGCTCCTAAGCTAAGATGGCAAACTCCTGGTCAAGGCTTCCTACAGCTTCTTCTCACACTGCTCCATTCATACTGGTCAGATCCAACGTAACTTTGTGATATCAGAGCGAGTTTCAAGCTGTAATTCAAACTCAGTCATTAACTACAAGTCTTCACTGCAAATTCTTTTTAGGACCAGGTTCAACAGATTTTTACACCAATTTAAGTAGAAGTTCTGCAAGATTCTTTAGTTCTTCCCATTTCTGTGCCCTCTCAAAAGTGAGATGGTTGAGGTTATTGCATGCTCAGTATCCCCAATAAAAATATGTAACTGATTTATTTTTTAACATAGATTACCCTGATTCCAGCCATTGCTGCTTTGTAAACCTACTTTCTCAACCCTTTATAAACAGCTAAAATTCCATTCAGAACTAAATCTGAAAGTGTAAGATCTCTACACCAGATTGCTCTCACTCTTTCCCTAAATCCTCTGATTTTTAAGGTAAACTTTTCTTTGAAGGTTTTCTGTCTCTAATAATTGTACTTATTAAGAAGCAGATGATTCAGAAGTGTTCCTGAAGTATGTGAAGGCCATTCAATTATTTTTTTCTTCTTGCTTTTGTTGAAGGCACTAGAACAATTTGATCCAAATATGTCTTCTTTATATAAAATAGTATCTTATTTGTATAAAATAGTATCTTCTTTGTATAAAATAGTATCTTCTTTGTATAAAATCTTCTTTATGCAAAAATGTGATCTTTCAAGTACAGGTGACTGTATGAACTATTTCTCTCTGCATCTGCTTACCTGCTTAGAATCCAGAACTGGAACTTACCTTCTGTATGTCTATTTAAAATGAATCCAAAATTTGTTTCCTACTATCAACTTTTCTGTCACATTCTAATTATCTAACTCTGAAATGACATCTGTATTCAGTAAGCTGAAAAATAAATACTATCACATCAAGAATAATTTAGTGAAGTACAGAATATATGCTTTATGACATAGTTTCCAGTAGTAGATATCTCCTAGTTTTAATTAATTTAGATTTAAGATTTTAGAGTCTTTATTTTTACTTTTCTGAACGTGACCTGAAGGATAGTTTTATCGCCAAATTGACCAGGCATGCAAAATAAGGTAGAGTGCTCCATACATACCCATACCTGCAGGTGAATATGCAACAGCATTTAGCTGTTACATGTACTAAACCCACAGCCTTTACTGTTACACAGAATGCAATTCTTAGAACTGAAATACATACATGGAAAAAAGTAGCAGGTTTATTTCCATGCTTCTTGATGCTGAGGCACTTTTAAGGAATTTTCCTAGTGATGTAACTTCACCATCACTATCATTTTTTAACGTCTTCAAGGGACGTCTCGGATTTTATGTTTCTGGGGGCTTTTTAGTGGAACCTCCTGCTTTCTGAAAGAGCTTGTTCTCTGATTTAGGACCTATTCTCTGATTTAGGACCTATTTAAACTTAATACCTATGAATGGAAAAAAGCTCGTAGCTCTAGATAATAAATGTTACATCTGCCACCATACCTATCATTCCTCCTCCGAAACTATCATTTTTATGTAGCTAGTCCTGATTAATGACATTCTACTGTCATTCTCTAAACCAAGTAACTGTGTCAACTGGTTTTTTGGTCCCATGCTAGACAAAACCCACAGACGTTTCAGCAAACAGGTCCTGCAATGCTCCTGAAACAAAGAGCAGAACTAGATACTGGAAAGAAACAATTATAACTCTGTGGAAGACAACATGCCTGTGTTGGTAAACTTGCATAGGTACAATTCTTCCTTTGTACATAAAACTTCATCTTAGAAATGCATAATTATGTATTTATTCTGGGAAAGTGTAAATCATGATATAATGCATACAACTACAAAGACAGTTTCCCTTGTTCTAGTCACAAGGGAATATTAAAATGAGGACCAATTTAAAACATCAAATTGTAGTGCTTATAAACTGAACCTAAGTATTAGTTTTGTAACAAACATCATATAAAGTAATTTCTGATAAGATTAAACAATTATTCTGGACCTTGTTAACATTCCATGAATCCAGGCCTTTCCATTCTCTCAGCCTTCCTATGCAGCTGAGCTTTTATTATAATTGACATTTGTTAGTAGCAGAATTGTTGACTTTTGCTATAATAGTCTCGTACAAGAGTTTAAGTCCCTTCAGAATTCCTTCTGAGAGCAATGAGTCTGAGTTACCACACTCCCTAAACACACATTTCAAGAACCTGAGGCTTTTAGAGAAAATTTATCCATATTGCCCTTGGTCGATACAATTACTGCTGCCACCTACAGCTCAAAAGTACAACTACATTTTATGAGAGCAATTCTCCGCCTCTTAGGTACGTCTTCATCGCAAAAATATTCCAAGTGACTATCCATCCTATTTATAGTATGAATCGCTTCTTTTTGTGACGTTTAAATCTTATGCTCACTTCGTCTTGCAGTAAGACATGAGAAAGTAGGAAACAAGCTGGCTCAAAGAACAGTTTAAGAAACCCTGAAGCTTTGCTCAGAGATCCCTAGCCAGCTTTACATTTCATTACGGTAACACAGATTTTACATGCATAATTCCATGTGTTAAATAAAACTACTTTCTTTCTACTTACGTCAGTCTTTGAAATCTACTGTTTAGGTTAATTTCAGTTCCTGCTGTTGTTTTCCTTAAGTAAACCCTGAAGCGCTGAGGTAACAACATCACAAAACTGCCAGAACTCAAACAGAATTGATTTTAAAGCGATGTTACAAAAGCATTAAGGCTACAACACCAAGCACTCAAAAGTTAGTTATATGTTGGACTCGGAATTCTCTATGCAAATGTAATATAATTTCTTTGTGGCTCGTAAATATAAAGTCTTATTCAGCAAAACAGAAGAAGCCTTTGATCAAGAATAAACCACAGTTTTCCTGGGTTATTTCAATGCTTCAAACATTAAATAAATATTTTCCAGACATCTTTTACTTTGTTCTTTTTTAATTTTGTAATTTTCATAGAGCAAGGAGTTCTATGAAATTGTGTAAATACTCTTAACACAATTAAAATGCACATGGGGAACAAGTATGGGACTAATCCTTGGGAAACCGAATGCAGGACTGCAGCCCATGCAGTTAGTGCAGCAATGTAACTTCCTAGCACATGCTGTTGGCATAGAACCATTTCTGGTTTAAAAAGACCCAGTTCTTCAACATTTGATTCAAATCTGGATTTTCTGAAAGCCAAAGTTTCTCAGATTCTGACAAGAAAATTGCAAATCAATTACCTGCCTCAGCTTCAAATTTAGAATTAGAATTTAATATTGTGGTTGTTGGGCATTTTTACCTTTGCATTTACAGTAATGTTCAAAGTAGCAAATCTTACCAAATAAATGGCAATTGCCCCATGTTATTTATTACTGTATAATCAGAAAAAAATGAAATCCCATGTAACCACCCCTCAGACATTGGCTACAATAGTTGCTAAAAAAATGGAAGAATGTTTGACCAAAAACATTCCTAAGGAAATGAAGTACATGCAACAATGTGGTCATCGTCCATCAGTCTCTCCATAATAATTTTGACCTATTTAACCAATTCAATCAAAGTTAACAAAATACAGAGATCACAGAGATACGAAGGTCTACAAAATCAATAGGTGGGCAACAGAGCCGTGTGCTCTTGTTGCCGCTTTTGATGGAAGAAGGGGCAGGGAGAATTCAGCTTTACCCTCACTGTTTGCTGGCCTAACAGCCAGGAGGAAGTGGCACAGCTACAGCCTTTACCAAGCACACCTGCATGCACCAGTTCTAGGACACACTGCTTCTCCCACAGGCAGAACATTAAAGGCAGGCAGATGAAGGATGGACAGGTTTGGGATGATGGGGAGAGGGGTCAGGGACATCTAGGGGATATGGGAGGGAATAAGTGTGTGTGAAGGTAGGACTTGAAAATATCAGGCTCCCGCATTTTTCCCATTAACAGAACAACTGGTTAAAATAGGAAGTATATTAATCTCTTGGTTGAAAAGTGGAAGTCTTCTGCTCAGATTTTCCTCCAAAATAGATAGAAAGCAAGTCTGGAACCAGTCTGTTTAGCCTAAAACTGAAGCAACACAAAACTAGCATCAGTTAAAATAGAGTAACCATAGGAACAAAGTGCCTATCTTCATGAGCCCTCACTGCATACCAGAACAGAAAGAATATAGATTACTCACAAGTCACAAAGAAAATATTTGGTTTACACAGGCACACAGGAACTTGGGTTAAGCAGAGCTAGAAAAAACTTCAGATGGTTTGGCATGAGATTACTTTCTCCTAGTGCACTTGTAAAACAATTCTGATGAAAGAAATCAGTCTGCTTTTGAAGACTGCTTTCAAAAGTTGAGTAACACGATCACAAGGGAAAAGAGAATGATATGGCTGCTACATTAGACAGCATAAAGGCGCATGATCCTGCAAACATATGCAAAACCTTATATAGGTCTTCATATGCTTAAAATTACATCTGTCTCTAAGTCTGAATAACTGAATCCACATTAACCAAAACATTACAGAGGAAAAGATTTTCTTAGAACAACATCTTGAATGCTTTGATAAAAGTGGCACTCTTAAAATTCTGGATATCTCCAAAGGATGTCCTACTAAACAATATCCTGAATAATATTAGTAGGATATTACTGGGAAGAAAAAAAAATGCTTGGGTAGATATCTATAAATTGTAATAGTTTAGCAATTCTCTGTAATACAGAAGTTATTTTTTCACTAATAAATGTTAGAAAACATTAAATGGAATCTAAATTTAAGAGGCTTTCAGCCTAAAAGGCATGTCCTATGGCATTTATACTATACCAGGACTACTTTTAATCTAAGAAAACATGAAAGTTCCATCATTCTGCTTGGGTATAACTGCCACACTTTATTAGGGAAGTGGTAAAAAGCCATTAGGCTCCTTTATGGAAGCAGAGAACCAAAGCAGCTGTCAGACCATTGAAATCATAATCACTATGCAAAGAAAGGAGCACGTCATATTCAGGAAGTTATTTTGGTGCATATTATTTTGTAGAAGTGTGTGTGTTTGAAAGGAAAAGAAACCCATTGAGATCATAAATGCACTGAAATCAGACTTGATGAAGGTTTGGAAAACAACCAGCCAGAGTACCCACCAAAAGGTGACCCGGACATAAGCACAGAACTTTCTAGGCTGAGTGTTGGCTGAAATCCAGCTTTTTTGGTGGTTTAGAATGGTGAGCAAATAACCTCACTCCTACTCCTCTCCTGTGTGCTGAGCAGCAGCCCCTCTATACACCCTCATGTTATCGTTGATGCCACAATTAATTTTTCCTTCTAATTAAAACAACCTGCAGGACCCAGTATGTAGGCTTACTGCTTCGATCGGAGCTGTAGCACATTTTAGAAGGGCAGAGTCCTGTAAGCCACTGTACCAATGCGGATACTGATCCAGACACTGCAGAAACTACAATGAAGCAAGCTGTGATTTTAATTCCTTGACAGGTCCTACATTATGTTTTACATGCATACTTAATGTATTTTCTTGTCAGATAATGAGAAGTACCGAAAACTCCCTAAAATACATTAATGCTGCAACAAAACCAAGCCTGTAAGCCCCAATTCAATCAGATTTGCTTGTCCAGGCCAAACTGCAGGAAAATGGATGCTAAGAATGGTAAATTCAGCCTGAGGATCTTTGGTTAAATACATTAATGGACCCAAGTATTGATGTATCTAATTCACAGGGCACACTACCCAGTGTAATTTAGTAGCAGAAGGGCAGTTAGGCATGTAAAAATTTCATTCCCCAAAATCAGTCAAATGTTGAACTAGACAGCACTCTGGGGTACATCTAAGAGCCAACAGAAAATGCCAAGAAGTTGCACCTGGTATGAATTCTTGCTACAGAAGCAACATTTTTTATTTTACTCAAGCAAGCAAATAGCTATTCCTTAGAGCAGAGAGATTGTCTAGATTCATTCTTACATCAGTGTACAGTTTTAACATGTGGCTTCACTTGATATTTATATCCCCGAAAGTGGATCAGCTCCAACAACGAAGTTTTAGAAGCCTGCTCTGGAACATTTATGATGCAGATCACTTTCCCAAGAGATGGAAAACCTGCATTTAACTCCCTGCTCTCAATCAGGTCGCTCAGGTTATAAAAATAACACCCCTGCTACAAGCCATAATCAGAGCTACTGGGTATAGTCAGACATGTGCTTTTCCTTTATGCATGATGTATGAACTTATGTATGAAGACGCCTGTAGCTGCGCCCTTTGAAAATCAACTGAGATTTCCCCCAGATTAAATAGCCATATCCAGTAAGAGAATCCCAGCAGGCTTCACGCTTTAGCCTGTTAACTGAACAGCACTGGCATCTGACGGCTACTATTAGCACTTAAATCCTTAAGTAACTGCACAGCTGTGTACGTCTTCTGAGATTCTTCGATTTGATCACTTGACCTTGCACAAAAATACAGTCTAAGAAAGACGTTTTTGTTTAACTTGCAGACTGACATTGCTGGGGGAGACGCGATTGAGTTTTTCCCCCGATCAGGCGAAACGCTTTACCACAGCATCCCTACGCCGTGATTCATCCGGCTACGCCCAGCAGCACAGACAGGTCTGGCCCGAGGAGGGGAGCGAGCACAGCCGCAGCCATCTGCACAGCCGGCCTGCGGGGAGCCGCCTGGCGCCACTAATCCAACCGGAACCCAGCGGGCACAGCCCGGCCGCTGCGGGTGCCGCCCCGCACCTAGGTTCTGGGCCCTTCTCCCGGCGGGTGCAGCCGAGTGCTTTCCAAGCCCTTCCCGGAGCGCCGCGGGGGAACGGCGAAGAAAAGGCAGCGCGGCTCCGCCCGCTTCTAGGACGTTCTGAGAGGCGCAGGGCGGTGGATGACGTCACCATCGCTAGCTCAACCCCCCCCCGGACCGCTTCCCCAACCACCACCATAAGCGGCCACTTCGCATGCGCCCTCCCCCCTGCTCCCGGGCGGGCCGGCGGTTGGACGGGCGGCGAGCGCGCCGCTCATTTATCCGCTTGCCCATGCGCAGAGCGGGCCCCCGGCGGGACGGGTGAGGCAGCGGGAGGCGCCTGCGCGAAACCCGCGCACCCGCAGACGCTGTTCACGAACCGCTCCCATTGGCTGCGAGCGCCTCGACCCCGCCCCGTAGCGGCGTGGCCGGAGGTCTCCGCCCTACCCCCGGTCACCCCCCTGCCCGCAGCACCGCCCCCTCCCCCTTCCCTGTCAGTGAAGGTTCCCGATGGTTCTGGAAGGAGGCGGAGCCTGGAGTATATAAGCCTAAGCGGGCGGCAGGGCGCGCGCATTAGTGAAGGCACGTCTGTGAGTGTGTTTGCGCTTGCCGTTTCATTGAGATCAGCAGCTTTTCCCCTCTGCCAAGGTGAGCTGTGGGGGAGTCTGTGGTGACAGTCGGTTATGTAGGGGGATGGTTTTGCTGAGGGAGTGTTTTTTATTTATTCCAAATCCTAATGGCTGGTGGATGCTAATGCGTGTGCAGGGGGTGCAGGGTTGGGGGATGCAGGCGGCCGCGTGGTGCGGGACGCCTTCTAGTCGTTCGCTTTCTAGTGCTAGTTAAAAGGAAAACGGGTTCTGAGGTTTTCTGGGGCCCGCAGTCGGGGTATGGTTGGAAAGGGATGATGCATCTAAAGCGTGCATCGTTGATGGTTTTGGTATTTTTTTGTCCTTAAAGTGGTAAAGAAAAAATGGCGGGGGGGGGGGGAAGGAGGACGGCCATCTTTCGCTCTTAGAGTCAGGGTGGGGGATAACGGGTGAAGCAGATTGTTGGTTTCGGAGGGCGCCAGCGGCAGTAGTAGCTCACTCTTCCCAGCGGTGCGATGGGGGTGGCCCCCAATCGCTTTGCTGCGGAGTGGGGGTGGGTCGGAGGGCGAGGGATCGTTCCCCTCAATGAATGAGTGCCCGGCCCCGCGGGGGAGGGGCGGCTGTGTTGGGCGGGGGAAGGGGCCGCTCGGCAGCGCACTCTGCGCGCGGGAGGGGGGCGGGCGGGGAAGGCTCTGGCAGTTTCTAGAACCTTTCATGCTTCGCCGAGAGCCTGCAGGGGGCGCTGGGCGGCGGCGCGTGGGGAGGCTTCTGCCGCCCGCGGGCTTGGCTCGGAATCGTGTAAAGGGCACCGCGGTGTTAAGTGCAGTAGCTTATTGTTTCTTGTTATATTAGCGTTGTTGCTAGAGATTGCAGTGCTGCGCTTGGACTCGATTCACTCCATAGCGATTAATAGTCGGGTTGTGGTTTGAGAAGTTTTCGGTTTTGAGTTCAATCGCCCGTTCTTGAGCTTTGGCTCATACAGAGGGTAGCCTAGGCAGCAGGTCCACGCCCGGTATTTGTGTAGAATGGGGTAATGAGCTCGGCTGGACACTGTTGGCATTGGAATTGTGTGGAGAGTGTCTGTATCTAAAGATACCAGTCGTATGAGCAAAATACGAGGTGGGTAAGAGAAAAGGGAAGTACTAGTCTCTGAAATGCAGGAACTCGGATAAGTTTTTTTCGCGATTTATACTTTTTCTGTGATAAGGGGAAGCACGAGTTGTATGTTACTTTCCAAGCTAATGGAGGAGAGGGAAAAATCTGTGTTGCATCAAAACGGTGCAGATCTGTAATTAAAATATTGTTCATGTGTATCTCAAAATTTCTGATTTTTTGCTGGCGAGAAATCTGATCTAAGTGTTGATTTTTTTTGTGTTACTGTGCTGTTATATTTGAAACAACAGTTAAATGTATTTATCTGTAAATGTGGTTGTTGCTGCTTGCAAAACGGTAAGTGCACCAAGTTGCTGTGGATGGTATTTCAGCTTGTCCTGTCTTGTAGATGCCGGAAGCTGTGCAAACTCAAGACCAACCAATGGAGGAAGAGGTGGAGACATTCGCTTTCCAAGCTGAGATTGCTCAGTTGATGTCTCTGATCATCAACACCTTCTACTCCAATAAGGAAATTTTCCTGAGGGAGCTGATCTCCAATTCATCAGATGTGAGTATAGGTTCCCAGCGTTTTTCACGTCGGTAGGGATGCTGGATTTTTTAGTAATGGTCAGGGAATGCTAAAGCTTGTCCCTTCTCTTACAGGCTCTGGACAAGATAAGATATGAGAGCCTGACTGACCCAAGCAAACTAGATTCTGGAAAAGACCTGAAAATAAACTTGATCCCAAACAAGCATGATCGCACTCTGACGATTGTTGATACAGGCATTGGGATGACCAAAGCTGACTTGGTCAACAACCTTGGTACAATTGCAAAGTCTGGTACCAAGGCGTTCATGGAAGCACTGCAGGCAGGGGCTGATATATCTATGATTGGTCAGTTTGGTGTTGGCTTCTATTCTGCCTACCTGGTCGCAGAAAAAGTGACAGTGATCACCAAGCACAATGATGATGAGCAGTATGCGTGGGAGTCATCAGCTGGAGGATCTTTCACTGTCAGGCTTGATAATGGTGAGTGTCACATGTTTTTTTTCCTCGGGCAGCTTTCTGAAGATTTCTGTCAATCAGATACTTAACTCTGTGCATTAAAGAAGACAGAAGTAACACCAGATGGGTAGTACTATTAGTCATGTATTACATCAAGCACAGACACAGCCGATTCCATTCTTCCAGTTGGGGTAATGTTTGATACATAATGGAATGTGTAAGTAAATCATAGCAAGGCAAGTTACAAATTTTCAAAGAGACATAAATTTTCAAAGCTTCACATAAGGAAATCCCTGCAGCTATTCTACACTGTGCAAGTTTATCAAAGTACATATTGGGTACAATAAGGCTGAGGAAATGTTTGTGAGGCTGTTCTGTACAGGAAATTTTACATTTTTTTCTGATAGAGCAGTGGCTGTTTAAAGAGCAGTGTGTTCCAGAACATCTGATCTGCACAAGTAAAGCATGTAAACTCCATTCTAGGTGAACCTTTGGGCCGTGGGACAAAAGTCATTTTGCATCTGAAAGAAGATCAGACTGAATACCTGGAAGAACGGCGAATCAAAGAAATTGTGAAGAAGCATTCACAGTTCATCGGCTATCCTATTACACTGTTTGTATGTATCTTGCTTGGATTGCTAAACAAGTATTGCCAGCTTAGAGCAAGTGAATTTTTGAAAGGGGAGAGTAATGTCTGTAAAGTAGAATTATAGGTGCTACATAAATGCAGCATTTAAATTCTGTTAACTCTGTTTTACAGAGCCATTAATTACAGATTGGTAAAATTAAGCTTAAATAACAAAAACCCTAGAACTGGATCGTGTTTTACAAAGCTGGTACTTACACAGCTTCTGAATTACTGAAAACCTAACTCTGCTGTGATGTATTATTAGTGGTAATGAAGTATGATGAAACTAAATGGCTCAAACTACTTAACTATACAGTCACATGGAAACCAAAATACCCATTGTCCTCGTGCCCAGAAAAGGAAGTATTCAGTTGAATGTAGGAGGAAAATCTGATGCTATGTTAGTTCCTAGCTTTGAGACTATAAGGGATACTTTAGGGCTGATGGTAATAGAAATTCTGGGTTTCTGCAGTAAACTACTAATTTCATTATAGGTGGAGAAGGAACGTGACAAGGAAGTCAGTGATGATGAGGCTGAGGAAAAGGAAGAAGAAAAAGAAGAGAAGGAGGAAAAGACAGAGGATAAACCAGAGATAGAGGATGTTGGTTCTGATGAAGAAGAAGAAAAGAAGGATGGAGACAAGAAAAAGAAAAAGAAGATCAAGGAGAAGTACATTGACCATGAAGAGCTGAACAAAACCAAGCCCATTTGGACCAGGAACCCAGATGACATAACCAATGAAGAATATGGGGAATTCTACAAGAGTCTTACAAATGACTGGGAAGACCACTTGGCTGTCAAAGTAAGTCCCTGTCAGTCTTGAGGTACAATTCTGTTTGGCCCTAAGTCTGGAGGATCAGTGCAGATGCTGCTGAACTGGATGCGTTGTCCCGTGTCTTGCTCTGATAGGTTGCTTTGCATTTGGAGTGATGGTATGTAAGGATGAGACCTTGTGCTACAATTACTTTGGCTGCTGTTAGGCTGTGTTCACAACCTTGATAAAATTAGTGCTAAATAAAACTTAGGCTGCCTTCCTAGTTTGTAGCTTAGTTGTTACCAAGTCTAATTGAAAAAGTATGTTCCAGGTAACTGTAAATGGAGTTACTTGGCTTTATAGCACAGTTTTGAAAAGGCCCATGGCTAAATGGGATGAGTGAGTGGCCTTTTTCTGGGTCTAGTGAGAAGTACTATAAGAACACAGCTGCTTTCTGAAGCTCAACATGTAGTATACAGAACTGTGTCTTCAAGTTCATCTGCTTCTATGGTAACAGTGGAATAGGACTTAGGTAGGTCTGGAGAAGGTGCTTGTTCTGACCCAAGTTTCATCTGTCTTTCTGAGATCTCAAATAGTTACTGCTTCACTTAGCATTTGAAGAGCTGTTAAATGGTCATGCAAGTGAGAGCAGTATAAATAGACTAAAATGACATTGTTTCCTCACAGCACTTCTCTGTGGAAGGGCAGCTGGAATTCAGAGCTCTCCTCTTTGTCCCACGGCGTGCACCTTTTGATCTGTTTGAAAACAGGAAGAAGAAGAATAACATCAAGCTGTATGTACGCCGAGTTTTCATCATGGATAACTGTGAGGAGCTGATCCCTGAATATTTGAGTGAGTATATTTCTGAGGAAAGTGTTGCCCAGAATGTCAGAGGAAGTGCTTATTAGTCTTGCTGTTCCCTTTCGTGTTTAAAGACATGTGGAAGGGTGAAGGCTGAAGTCCTTAAACCTGATAGGATTTGAAAGTACTGCTTGGTGTTGCCTAAAAACGTAGAAACCAATTCATTACCTCAAAAATAGACCTACTTAGGTGGTGACAGTCAATTTCCTTTTCTTTGAGACCTACAGTACTCATTGTCTACAATGTTAAAGTCCCACTGTAATTTTCCAGATTTCATGAGAGGTGTGGTGGACTCTGAGGATTTACCTCTGAATATTTCTCGTGAAATGCTGCAGCAGAGCAAGATCCTCAAAGTGATCCGGAAGAACTTGGTGAAGAAGTGTTTAGAACTCTTCACTGAGTTGGCTGAGGACAAGGAGAATTACAAGAAGTTCTATGAGCAGTTCTCCAAGAATATCAAGGTTTGTAGTAGTACTTCTGCTTTGTAATACTGTTACTTGTTAGATAGTGCTAACACAGTTTAGTGTTTATCTGAAGGAATCACTAGTTTTTATTACTTCTGTAGCTTGGTATACATGAAGACTCCCAAAACCGCAAAAAGCTGTCAGAATTGCTGAGGTATTACACATCTGCATCTGGTGATGAAATGGTGTCTCTGAAGGACTACTGCACTCGGATGAAGGAAAACCAGAAACATGTCTACTACATCACTGGTGAGTTGGTAACAAATTGCTCATCTTCTGGGGGGTAGAAAATGAAGAAAAACCCATGGCAGCTCTTCTTGGAGGACGTGCCTTATCATTACTTGGTTTGGTAGTCAGGGGAACCTTAAGTACAGTATGATGTCCATGAGGACAACAGAACTAGCTGCCTGCCCTTTGTGCAGGTAGTTTACACATGTGCTTACTTCTAAGCATATTTTCTAAAGTATACTTTAGAATCTTTGTGGTGGCTTTAAGATCACTTTGTTCAGGCTTTAGCTATTAACAGCCAGGAGTCTGAATTTTTAACACTTAATGCTCAATCCACTTAACTATTTGGGCATCAAATACTAATTTTTTTTCTTAAGGTAGATGTTGTACAGGGCTCCTCAGATTATTCCTTGGCAGAAATGTGAAACTTCTGTCTGTCATTACAGGAAATCTTGTTTATTTTCAAACCAGGAAGAAGTGTGTTTACAGGCTGTGAGTGTCAGTTTGAAAGGCTTGGGTCTCTCCAGGCCAATCTAATCTTTGCAGTAGCTTGTGATACTGGTTTTGTGTCTGCCTTTTTCCCTGGGCTGTGCATCACATGGTGAAAACGCAGCATAGGCTCTGGAGAATAAACAGGCTGCTATGTTACAGTATAGTGTTGAGGCTCGGACCACAACTGTGGCTGTCTCATTGTGTACAGGTGAGACAAAAGATCAGGTGGCTAACTCTGCTTTTGTGGAGCGTCTTCGCAAGCATGGCCTGGAAGTGATCTACATGATTGAACCTATTGATGAGTACTGTGTGCAGCAGCTGAAGGAATTCGAAGGCAAGACCCTTGTTTCTGTGACAAAGGAGGGTTTGGAGCTTCCAGAGGATGAGGAGGAGAAAAAGAAGCAGGAGGAGAAGAAAGCCAAGTTCGAAAACCTCTGCAAAATAATGAAAGACATACTTGAAAAGAAAGTAGAAAAGGTAATTAGCAATACTTGGTTTGTCTATATGTAGTAAGTTCAGTGGTCTGAAATTAATTTGCTGCAGCAAAGGCTCAATGTTACAGTTGCCCTTCTGAAGGAGAACAATCTGTGCAAAATGCAGTATTATGGATAACAAGGCATCTTTCACTTTAGTGAAGCTAAGTGGTTCTGTTAATTGGCATTGCACGTTTTTTTGTCTCGTGAGTCTTTGGACTTACATGGCCTGCAGCAGCATTTTGTAGCTTAACCTTAGTTAAATTGGGGGATAGTAAATCAAAATACACAAGTTCAAATACTAAATTTCAGATATGTTCTTTGTTTGCACCTTCCTAGGTGGTTGTGTCCAACCGTTTAGTTACTTCTCCATGTTGTATTGTAACAAGTACATATGGCTGGACTGCCAACATGGAGAGGATCATGAAAGCACAGGCCTTACGAGACAACTCCACAATGGGATACATGGCAGCAAAGAAGCACCTGGAGATTAATCCTGATCATTCCATTATTGAAACTCTGAGGCAAAAGGCAGAGGCTGATAAGAATGACAAGTCTGTGAAGGATCTTGTCATCTTACTGTATGAGACAGCGCTGCTGTCCTCTGGCTTCAGCTTAGAAGATCCTCAGACACATGCTAACCGTATTTACAGGATGATTAAACTTGGTCTGGGTAAGTTACAAATGCGTCTTGTCTCCAGTGAATGCTGGGCCTTTGGGGGGCGCTGACTGTCCAGAGATAATCTTGATGCTTGTGGGAAAGGGGGAACTCTCTAATTAGTTCAAATTGTGCAAAGGAAAAAAGATTTTGCATCCTGACCTTGGCAGTAATGTACCTGTTTCCTGCACAGGCATTGATGAAGATGATACTGCTGCAGAAGAAGCTAGTCCAGCAGTTACTGAGGAGATGCCACCTCTTGAAGGAGATGATGACACATCACGCATGGAGGAGGTGGATTAAACGAGTTCGCAAGAAGTCATGAATGTTTCGTTGGCTAATAACGAATAAGTTATATTTTGTATATTATGAATGTTACCTGCCAAAAAAAAATCTTAGACACTTTGTCTGCATTCCCTCATATTTATTTTCAAAGATGTTATACCTTTATTTTTGTTACATTGCTTTTTCAGCTGATGTGAGATACAAATGCCATTGAGGGAATATTTTCTTTTAACACTGTACAACCCTAAACAGGCAAGTAAGGAGTAATTTTTGTCTCTATTAGCTGGCTGCAGGTGGCAGGGTTTTTGACTTATTCTTAATTGCCAGAAATGTGGGAAAGAGGTAACAAAGACAGTATGACATCAGGATGTTAAAGTTTATTGTGTTACACAGCTCTTGAACTCTAAATCTGTCTTAACATACAGTACCTAGTAACTAGGTGTCTAGGAGAGCTGAAGTAATTTGGGGAAGCTTTAACCCTTTTGCTCTTAACAAGGTCTTGATGTTTAAAGTTGTTTTTTATACTGTTTCAGGATTCTGGATTGCACTCTACCATAGAATAGAATCCACTGTAAATCTCTATTGTGACTTATGCAACTCTGCATGTACAGTTCAAACCTAGAACTGTAAGAATAAAAGTGTTAAGAATGAGTGACGTCACAGACTTGTCTGTTAACAGTGGGAGCTAAATCTGTAACGCTGCAATGCCGCTGCAGTGCTACTGCAAACTGGTACTACAGCAGTGCTCAATGTATCTTAAGCCTGTGCTAGTCTCTGAAGAAGTGATTGTTAGCCTCAACTTTGGTTTACCTTGTGTTGATAACTCTGGCAGTTTTCCAGTGGCTCCGCAAGCCTGGCTGCTAGTGTTGTACTGAGGTGATGGTATTATGTACTGAACAGTGTTCAGCACAGGCTTCTGAGAAACTACTAGGTTGTGTGTGCTTACATACTTATGCCATTGTCTCTGAAGCAGAAATAGTAAAAGGAAATGGAGTTCTTAATAGCAGCTCATTCCACCAACTTTCCCCTGTCAGCTTCTTCCATGCAGGTCACATCCTCTTCAGTGCCTTAGGTATTTACAAGCTTAAGTTCAGTGAACTTGAGGGAAGGGGGGGGGGGCAGGGCCAAGTTGACAACTGTGTTCTGTTTCGGTTTGTTTTTTTTCTCCTGTATAATTTTTAAAAAACATCAGGTTATAGTGGTGGTGTGCAGGTATTTAAAACAGTGGCTTCCTGCAGACTAAAACCTGTTGAGAGCAGCACTGTCTTGGGGGTGGGGAGACTTAATTTGGGCTTCATACACACTGGGAAGTGGATACATGGGCCCTGGTTTGGTGGGGTATGAGGGCTTTTCAACCTGATGTTTTTGTGTGTCAGCTTACTATACTGGTGTGCTCACACGTTTACATCTAATGCTGAATTAATTCCTCCAAAGTAAATTCAGGGACTGGATATGAAAGTCCTTCACTACTGCTTACCGTATTTCCAAAGGCCTAACAAATGTGAAAGCTTCTGGGTGTGTAGGTTGGGTTTGGGCCATTTGTTTGCTGAAGGCCTTCAGGTGCTCTGCAGAAGCTTTTCTCTGGGTGTTAGGCCACACTTGGATCAAGTGACTCTTGAGAGTGAAATGAAGTAGGAAAGGGAAGGAAATAGAGACATCTTGCATTTTGTTTCAGAACCTACATTTATGAAAGCTGTACTGAAGAGTCTTTTGGGGGTGAAAACAACCAGAACTTCATTCTCACGGTTCTCAGTGCTTTATGTGCCAAAAGCTTGGGGCCAGGTGCAATGAGCTTACCCCACTCAGCTGTAAACCCAACTCTCACCCAAGGTGGGCTGCCTTGCATGTGTTTTGTGGCCTCCCTGTGCCATAGCCCTGTTGCTATAACAATGAGTATGACCTCAAAAAATGCACTCTCATGGCTCTTGAGTACTGGCTTGTGGTTTGGAGGATGGATGATAGTAGCTGTGAGAGCTTCTGTCTTGGTGATAACCCAAATGGTGAAGGCTCTCAAGATGCTGGAGCTCAGTCTGCTTTAGGTAATTTTTCCAAGGCCTTGCTAGTAACAAAAGTTACTCAGAAGCAGGGTACTAAAACATACAAGCAGGTGGATTTTAAAGATACTGTGTGCATTGGGACTGAAACCTAAAAGATCTTTTATAATACTAAAATACTGAGAAAATACCTCCCAATTAGTACTTCGAGATTTAAAATTCACAGTGACAAGATGCTAAGGACAGACTTCCAGTTGGTTAGTGAAGTGATGGCACAAATCTTACTCGGGTCTTCATCTCTGCTTAAAACATCTATTAGAGAAGAATTCGGGTGAAACTTCCTTTTAATGAGAACATACTGGTGTTTTGAGTTACGCCTGCGTTACATGGGCCAGTTACACTGTAGATCTTGCAGAGAAGACGATGACAAATGGGTTGTGTTTTGGCACAGAGTGTGGAGTTTGCCTCATCTGCCAGGTTTTTCCTGAAATTTTGGGAAGTTGGGACACTGTTCTCAAAAGTTCTCTTGCTCAGCTACCTGTTGTAGCAATTCATGGTCTTGTTTCCATGTGCCAGTGTAACAGGAGATGAAAGCGTTGAGATACCACGGTGGAGTTCAGGGAAGGCTGGATGCCCTTGTAACAGCCTTCTCTTGGGCTTTTTTGACCCTGATGGGTGCTTACAGTGTCACAGTTGCTAAGCTGGGATGCGCAGCAGAATTCAGTGAAGAGTCAAGTGCTAACATTAAAACATGTTTCTCCTTACTTGGGCTGCAGAACAGTGGAGCCAGCCATTGAGTAACTGCAGTAAAACTTGGCACAGGTTGGTGGTCTGTTTTTTCTTTGCCTCCTTAGAGCCTTTACTGCTGATGGTCAGGTTTCACTGCAGCTCATTGGAGCATTTTTCTGTTGACCAGTCTTTTGTTACTGAACTCAGAAATACTTAATTCTGCTACTCTTTTGGGAAGGAACCGTGCTCCATATATTACATGGTTTGGGTTTTGGAGCCTTGGGAGCAGACATGCTGGTGCCCTGTTGCTATAATGAAAAGCTCCCACCTTTGCACACTGTGCAGTCTGAATTCCAGGTGGCAGCAGAAAACAGCTTCCTTTGTCCTAGAAATTGGAGTACAACCTGATGAACTCCCAAAGGTAACAAGGAAAGGAGCAGAAAAAAACAGCCCAAACTACATGGGTAAATGCTCTGCTATATGAGGGGAACTGTTGCATTTGGAAACAAAGATGCCTCTGGAATGTGCTATTGAAAATCCCCGCACATAAACACTCTTGTTAAGAGTGGTCATGGCTAATGATGTGTCTTGCTGAGGAAGAGGGAGTTTTTTGGGGGTATTTTGCATTAATTTACAGCTGACCATGAAATGTCCATTTATCTGTGGTCTTAAGTTGTATTTGGGGGTCTTAATTTGATAGAAGTCTTGGCAAATAGTTTCAGGCGCTGTCATGGTTTAAAACCAGGCAGAGGGCTTTTTCACTCACTCGCCCTGCTTCTTGCCCTCCCCCTACTCCTGGAGGGACGGAGAGGAGAATTGAAAAGAATGCAACTCCCACGGGTTGAGATAAGAACAGTTTAGTAACTAAGGTATAACACAAATCACTACTGCTACCACCAATAATAATAATGAATAAAAATATAAAAAATAGGGAAGAGAATACAACACCTCACCACCAGCCAACTGATAACTTCCCCCCCTGCAACCTGACCAAGCTCTGACCCATACCTCCTCCAACCCCGCAGTCTCCCAGCCCTTCCGGCTAACTCCCAGTTACATCCTGGGCATGACGTGCTGTGGTATGGAATACCTCTGGTCAGTTTGGGTCAGGTGTCCTGTCTCTGCTTCCTCCTGGCTTCCCCTCCTCCCTGGCAGAGCATGAGGCTCACAAAGTCCTTGGCCAAACCAAAACATCATTGTTATCAGCTTTGTTCCCAAGTCAAAAGTCAAAAACACAGCGCTGCACCAGCTACCATGAAGGAGAAAAATGACTGCTACTGCTGAACCCAGGACAGGTGCTTTTCTGCCTATGTGTAAATCTAACTTCTATCAGAGTTTGCTTAACAGTGAGGGCACCCTAAAGAGCGAGAAATTTTAGCTTTATTTATAATTTCTGGTACTTTGTTATGCAGATCTTGTTTAAATGTTCTGCATTTTCAATGAAGCAAGTGATTTCAGACAAAGATTTGCTTTTCTAGCAAATTGCACAAAATATTTTTTCAAAATGCAGGCTAAAAAAAAAAGATGGGTGAATAAAACTCCATCCAAAATATGGCTGGTCCTAGGAGGAGCAGAGGTAACTGTATGAGGGGAGAGTTCAGTGCCCTTAGCAACAGCATAACGAAGAGAAGGAGATGCACATTCTTTCATACCAAGGTGCTGTTAACATGGGTGAGGAGGAAAAGGAGGATGGGTTTGGGGTTTTCAGCTTTGCACTGCACAGGGTTCTCCTGATTTGAACTGTTAGCCAGGCAATTTAATTATTAGGGCTTTAAAATACACAGGGATGCGTCCCATGTGTATTTCCCTGTGTCATTTTTATCTTGCCTATTTAAAACTGGTTGTAAATTGTTGAGTTTTTGTATTAGAAATAAACATCACATAATAGTTTTTAAAGCAAAAAAAAAAAAATTCAAGTACTCTTTCATTAGTTTTTCCTGAAGCAGTGTTTAAAAAGCTGTTAATAGACGTCTGTTACAAAGAATCATAGAATAGTTGGGGTTGGAAAGGACCTTAAGATCATCTAGTTCCAGCCTCTGGATGCTTCACACTAAAGCATGTTGCCCAAGGCTCTGACCAAGCTGGTCTTGAGCACTGCCAGGGATGCAGCATTTACCACTTCTTTGGGTAACCCGTCCCAGTGCCTCACCACGCTCACAGTAAAGAACTTATTTATATCTAACCTGAACTTCCGTTGTTTAAGTTTTAACCTGTTAACCCCTACAGACCCTGACGAAGAGTCCTCTGGTATCCTTATAGGCCCCCTTCAGATACTTGAAGGCTCCTATGAAATAAGTTACATAAAAAGATGTGTTTAGTGATCTATGGAACACTTAACAGTGACAGTCTCCCCTGCAAAGAGCCGCTGGGGTTGTGGTTTCCTCATTGTGTTCTTGCTTTGCTTTTGCTGTTCCCTGTGGCAGAGAATTTTGTGGGCAGGAAGTCTGTGGGAAACCTCCCACCCTAATCTCTGTGATTCCTTTGGTGGGAAACCGAGCTGGCAAACCAGACCTCACCTTGCTCATTTGGACTAATTTTAGCTTTTAGATGCTTGTTGTGGCATCCCAGAATCGCCCAGAGGGATCATTTCGCCCAGCCTGCAGTGTGAATGGCACTTGT